TATACATCATTATACATGAATCGTCATTCCACGGTCTGGGCGGGACTGGGACGTCGGTGTGCCAGTCCTTCTCTTCTATTGGCTAATCGTAGTCGTAGTGGGGTGATCGTCGGTTGGTGGAGCTGCAGGAGCTACTGTGCCCTCATGAGCTCCAGGGGCGTGCGGCGTCGTGGCGGGATGCCCGCTGAAGCGGCGGTCGGGGTCGGGGTCGTGCGGCAGGCCGTAAAGATAGCGGTCATAGCGGCAGCCGGTGGCCAGGCAATCGGGGGCCTACTGGCGGGGCCGCTAGACGTCGAGGCATCGAGGTCCTGCGATGTGACGGCAGCAGTCGTCGAGCGCGGAGGCGGCGGCTGAGGATCCGCACTTGCACGCGGCGCTGTGTTGGCGGCTGCCATCGTTCTCGGTAAATACGCTTGCTAAGAGGTAGACATGTAGGTTATATATCTATATATCGCGCACGCGGAACACGGAGGAACAGAGCCGTACTAAAGTCTCCGAGACTACGAATGTACGACGCGTTCTCTGACTACCGTATGCTCGTACTGACAATATTAGGACACGCGTTGGATGCGGCATATAGTGGGCATTATGGCTGGGGTTTAGCCGTGGCTCATTGCCACGTGTGGCCTCGTGAGCCATAGAGTGCGCGCCACAATGTGAGCCATGCGCCGCTAACGGGCGCGCGTCGGCGAGGCGCGGAGAAAGGCTGAATGGCGCGCGTCATGCGAGCTTCTGCGGCGTGGGGACGGCTTGCGATTGCGCCTATATGTGCATGCGAAGGTGGCGCGGGTATAGGGGCGGGTATAGGGGCGGGTAGGGGGGGAGGGGGTACGTGTACCCGACTCAGGCGTTGAGCAGTGGTGTCCTTCGGCGGACACGACGGCATGCATTGCGTTGGTCGGGTTACTACCGGTACGTGTTGCGACGATTCGCGCGTGCACAGAGACGCCGTAGTGGTGCGCTCTCTGAGCATGACATTCGAGTGCTCTGGGTCGTCTGGCAGTGTCTGAGCGATGTGACCGGTCTCGGTGTCCGTGGACGTTCCAGTAAATACACGGGCTCCGGAAGCCGTAGTATGCACTTCATCGGTGGTTGGATTCCTGGCTGGGCACCACTGGCTGGATTCCTTGGCCAAAGAAATCGTCGCCGGTGGGTGCGACCGGTGGTGTTTCGCAGAAACGTGCCAGCGGAATGAGATCGGTATCGCCGAAGTCACTGTCGGACGCCGATTGGCGCTGGGGAGGGTCGTCGCTGTCAGAATCTGGTTGCGAGTCGCTCGGTGTGTGGATGCACGTGCTGCATCTGGATGCGCGAGCGTAGGG